TGCATGGTCTAAAACACATAATAACATCATCAGACTTAATAATTTTTAGTCATATACAAGTTTTGGCACAAAGTATGAAAGTGTGACAGTAAAGTACCTTTATTTTTGAAAATAACAGAGATGTTTACAAAGAAAAGTTGTCGGCGATTTTGAGTTTGGAAGAAAAATTTAAAATAATTTTAAATGTGGGAAATAAACTTAAAATTATAAAACAAATATTTAACATTCAGGGAAAGACTGACAAACATGCCATTTACACTCCAACTTTGCATAAATATTGACTATATGTAACTACTTTTTAATTATCAATAACTTTTCTTTATAAAGATCTCTGCTATTTTCAAAGATAAAGGCACTTTACTGTTACACAAATTTCATATTATGTGTCAAAACTTGTATATAACTAACAAATTAATAAGTTTAATGATGTCATGTATTTCAGATCATCATCATAAAGTGATCAGTCATAAGACTGGTTGGACACGCACCTCCACTCTTTCCTATCCCGAGCTAATCTTCGCATTTCCCTAAAACTAGAACAACCCACATCCTTAACTATTTGCGAACAGTAATCTAATCTAGTTCTACCTCTACTCCTCTTAACTCCTATTTCTGCCTTTAGTATGTTTGACTAAACCTTCATACCTGAGAAGGACACCTTCTAACCTATTTAACCTAACCCACCTATTTTTTATTGATTTCCATAGAGTCCTCTTATTCTTTCTAATATCTCTTCATTTCTAACCTTCTCTATCCACGGTCTTGATATATTTAATGTACCATCCAAAAACAGATGCTCTTCTAAATATTACTCTCAATTTTTCTAAACTGAACTAAAAGATTATGATGTAGCTGTAAATCTTTTCGGATAAATATTTATCAGCGACATGAAATTGCAACGAGTTCAATCCAATACTCCATTTTATTAAAACAAGAATCACCCAAACTGATGGCGTAATCCCGGAGTAATCAGTGTACATGTATGTACATTTATTAAAAAATGCAGGATTATTAAGATTCATGGTACTTAACACACATACCAATCAATTTTATATTTTATTGCATTTAAATAAAATTAAAGGCTATCTATTAGAAGTGTTTGTGTTAATAAATAAAAAGATATTCCTTCGACAACATTATTATAGGGTACATTCCACCTGTTTCTTCACAAAAAAGCCCCTCTTCCATAAAAAAATACATCTACCTGTTACTTAATGCGAAAAAAAAAACACTAAAAAAACTTGAAAAAAAGCTGCAACCTCATCTCTGATTGCAGTATTAGGTACTTCCTATTAGTAAGTTATTTTAGACGTTGATACCCCTCTTTTAAGGACCCTTATATACCTACGTACTATAATATCTCTCGTGTCACCCTTATGTAAATCGCTGCTGATGCATTAACGTAAAAATGCTCCCTCGTTTTACGTTTTTTTCTTTATTTAATTCTCCCTCGTCGATGTTCGGGAACGTGGTGTGCACGCGCTTCCCTTTTTTTCGAGGGCTATTTTTAAACAGGGGTGCCATTTGCTGTCACCGTAGCTATACGCATACACAAGTAGTGTACTCTCCACCCCTATTTTTTCTGTTGGTAAAAATGGGTAGAAAATGGCTCTTTTGTAAGGGACACACGACTACAATATTTGAGTTTTACTATTAACACTGTCGTTTATACGATTAGGGCCTGTTTTTAAAGGATAAAGTTTAAAAAATGTACAAGTAAAATAAAGCGGCACAAGCCGTACTACTTATAGTTGTAATCATAAAAGCCATATGACCAATCGTCCCGCAATCTTTTTTAATGCCGAAACCTACAATTTGACATTCGGTACCTACATGTACCCTTAACGTGCACAAACGGTACTTCCGGTTTGTCGTTGAAGCCCAAAGCATTTACCTTAAACTGATTTAGCCCTTGAAGTTTCAATTACAGTTTAAAATCCAAGCACTTTGAATTACCAATTACTTCGAGATAAATGTACTCACAAATAGCACTATCTCTAAAAAAATCTCCTTCTAAACATTCGAGACCAAAGGAACGTTATTGTTGAAATAACTCTCATTAATTTGTTTTCTGCAACTGTTTTTTGTATGTTCATATTAAATCAAAAGTAACTTAAGGATGTTTGGGAGGTATGTCAAAATGCTACGAGACAAATGAAAATTTAGAAAAACGTTCCTCATTCAATTCTAACACTCCTGTAAAAATTACAAATCGATTCACTAAACCGTTAAGATGTTATTGAAATTTTAAAAAATTGTAATTTTATTTGTCATTTTATGGAGATTCGTTAGCCGAACAGATTAAAGTAATTTTTATTAACAGAAAAAAAGCTAACAGAAATTTCAAACTTTTATAATAAGTAACTTGAACTCTGGAGAATCACTTTAGCGTAAGGTTATTCAAATTCACTAAATGGTTATCGAGGAAAAAATGAAAAATTAGCTGAAAATCTCGTTTTTACTTGATAATATAATGATAATATTTATAATTGTCTGAAATAAATGCAATTTTAAAGTTTTAATTATTATTTAAACATATTAAAAAGTTTTACGCTCATTATTAATAAAGATTGAAACTAAATATTTTTTTGTTTCGAAGTTGAAATCAAGGCATATTCACTGCCAAAAGTCAGTTAAAAATTTTCCATATTATTCGTTATTTCTTATTTTATTCAAAGTTTTTGGTCAAATTCCAAACCGTATACTTTTTTTTTAGTATAGATAGTATTTATTTACCTCATGATATGCTGCAGAACCTAATTAATCACGAATTTCTAATTTTATGTACTCTTGTCTCCGATTGTACCTACCAAACATCCTTAAAAAACGATCGACAAATTTAGGCCAAAAATGTATTTTGAATATCGTTTATAACAATTGGCATACCACCCAACATCAATAATGTTAGCATTCAAATATTCTGGCACATGTTCAAAAGCTAATCCGTCATTTTTGATAAACGACGTGAAGATTTCTTTTTTAACGGAGAGGACTCCGTTGCCGATGGCTAAACGTTGTATTGCCTTTCTTAAAGGAGCAAATGGTAGTCGAATAGTAGCAAAACCAACCCGCAGAAATGCGCTCTTTTTTCTACGCTGATTGTGCTGTTTTCGAATTGTATCCTGTCGACTAGCGTGACTTGCATGAAATTCTAATGCCATGTTTGTCATAATGCCACTCTGGCAAAACGATCGTTTTCAAGCGCACAAATAAAAAATATGATTTTAATACAGGGGTTTTCTAAGACCAGATCTTGAAAATATTTCAAAACAACTTTAACTTTTGTAGTTAAAAATAGCGGTTCATATGGTACAGAATAATGGGTTTTAAAGTAGCCGATCCATTTGAAATATATAAAATTAAAAGTGGAATCGCAAAGACAGCCTTAGATGGGCGAATCTCTCATAAAAAAGGCGCCAAACATAAACCTAAAACCCTTACATGAAATTCGTTCAAACCTCAAATGTATAAAAATGAGAACAGAAACTCAAAGATGTTCCCAAAGCTGACAAAGCTCTCACCAAAAAAGTTCCAAACTCTAAATCTAAAACACTTATATAAAATATTTTAGTCGTTAAAGCACCAAATACATTAAAATAAGAGTAAAATCTCATAGCTAGGCCAAGAAACCTCCAAATCCTAAGCCTAGAATTCTTACAATAAAATTCTTGAACCGTTAAAACCCTAAATGCATACAAATACGAGTAGATTCTCAAACACTTGGTCAAGCTGGACTAACTTCTCACTCAATAAAGCGTTTTGTAACATTTTTTACAGTATTGCAATATTTTCTGTAAATTGGGTTGCCTAAATATCACATTACAAATTATAGTATAATTGTAAAAAGAAATATCTAAATTAGCATCCCTAACTTCGTCTACACACAAACTTATACGTTAAGATGAAAATTCGTCACTCTACTTCAATAAATTCAAAATTAAAGCTAAATTAAGGCTTCTTTTTAAAATTGTCCCGGCGCCTCCACCAAAATTTTCAGTAAACTTTTTTGATAACTGTGTTATTACGAACGACTTACAACAATAGCTAAAGATAAAAATTTATTAAACACTTGCAATTCGTAACTAAATACTTTTTACAAATAAATATGTTTAGCTTAGGGATGCTAATTTAATTATTTCTTATTACAATTACAGTATAATTTGTAATGTAATGGTTAGGCAACCCAGTTTACAGAAAATGTTACAATACCGTAAAAAATGTTAGAAAACGTTTTTTTTTTCAATAATTTTTGTTGTGAATCTTAATACTCTTCTCAAACCAATTACAAAATATTCGATAGAAATAATTAGTTAGTTAGTAATATTAGTAAGACTTCTTGTAAATTTGGTTGAAATCTTATAGAGATAGACATATTTATTTGGGGTTCTTAAAAAGTATATACTTACTAATTGCATGTATTTAGTTAATTTTTAGTTTTAACTATCGTTTCAATATCGAAATCAAGACATTCGAGATAATATACAATTATTAAGAAATTTTACTGAAAATTTTGGTGGAGGCGCCGGGACAATTTTAAAAAGAATCCTTAATTTAGCTCTAATTCTGAATTTATTGAAGTAGAGTGATGAATGTTCATCTTTGAAGTATAATTTTGTATGAAGATGGAGTTAGGGATATTAATTTATACATTTAAACTGTAATTTATAATGTAATACTTAGGCAACTCAACTTACAGAAAATATTACAATACTGTAACAAATGTTTTTCTCAACAACTTTTCTTGTGAATCTTAGTACTATTCTCAAACCAATCACAAAATATTCCATAGAAATAATTAGTTAGTAATATTAATAAGACTTCTTTGTTTGGAAACTTTTAGTCATTTTTATAACATTATTTTAACTTTGTGTTTTTTTTGATATAGGTAAAGCATGATTTTCTATGAAATAAGTATTTTGTATTTTTCACTTTTTATTTTTATTGTGGTACATTTTTAGTTATCATTATTACAAAAGAACTTAAACACCATCTTCGAATACGAATACAATATGTTAATAAGCTATAAAAATTTCCCTACTGCATAAAAATATTGAAATACTTTCTAGAGAATGCTACTGTTGTCGCTCATGCTGACACTTACTATCTTCATCCCTGGATATTCCCTTGAAGGGCCCGGTCGGGTGTGGAACAGAGTGAAAGAGAAATTGGGTCCCCTAGGTGAAAGTATTTTTCGTAATCTCTAGAAACAACAAAAACTTTTGTTATTAAAATTAAAACTACCAGTAAAACTTTGTTTCACTGTTTAACATTTTCAGAGACAGTTGCATCAATAAAAAATATTAAACTTAATAAGGAAGTTAAACGTTTCACCCGATCTTATGTAACATTTTCGCAAACTGCATGAATTTCCTGATCAGAATCACCATTTTAAACTTATTAATGTCCATAATCCTACCAGGGGGATTTTTAGTAAATTGGCCACCAAACCGAAGCTACCCCATTCAAGCAAGTTTGTTGATATCAACAAGTAATTGGCAATATATCGTTATTATTGTATTTTACCGATTAAATAAAGAATATTAACAATATTTAAATATTTTAAAGTTGATTCATTCACAAAAATTATTTAAATCAGTAGATAAAAAGATCAAATGTGCTATTGACTCTACGATTAGCCCAAAAAAATAATTGTAGGGTCAATTTCCAAGTTTAAGTTCTTAATCAAAAGTTGCCGTATGAAAATCGCGATTTCGACTTTATGAGCTCGTCATGGATAGTAAGTACTTTTGTAAGATCTTATCAAACACTATGAAATACGAGGGTGGATTGATAAGTTTCCGGCCTAACCAAGAGACGACGCCACTAGGCCTACCTTGAGGTGACATTCTATAGTACCATCCTTGGATAGCTTGTAGCTATAGTTTCAGCCCGATCTCCTTGCTAGTGTAGGTTTGACAGCACGCTGAACAAGACGCCTCTGTGGTTTTCGTAAAAATGGAAAAGCAGGAAAATCGTGCTGTCATCAAATACTTTTATTTGAAGGGGTTAACGCCGAAGGAAATTAAAAAAGAGATGGACTCAACACTGGGGACATCCTCCCCGTCATATTCAACCGTTAAGCAGTGGGTTTCCGAGTTTAAAAAGGGTCGTGTGAGCACCTCTGATGGGCCTCGCTCAGGACGCCCCGTTGAGGTCACAACTCCAGATATGATCGAAAAAATTCATCAAATAGTGCTGGGAGACCGCAGATTGAAAGTGCGTGAGATAGCTGAGACCTGTAAGATGTCATATGAACGTGTGCAACATATTTTGCACCAACATTTGCATATGGAAAAGCTCTGTGCAAGATGGGTGCCGCGTTTGCTAACAGTCGACCAAAAATTGATTCGAAAAAACATTTCTACCGCAAATTTGTCATTGTATAAGCGTAATCCAAGCGAATTTTTGCGTCGATTCGTAACCGTTGACGAAACGTGGGTCCACCACTACACTCCTGAAACCAAAGAACAGTCTAAACAGTGGATTGGACCAGGGGAACCAACTCCAAAGAAGGCAAAAACAATTTTTTCGGCGAACAAGGTTATGGCTACTGTTTTTTGGGATGCAAGAGGTATTATATACATTGATTACCTTGCAAAGGGTAATACTATCACTGGTCAATACTACGCAGACTTATTGCAACGTTTGAGCCACGAGGTGAAAATTAAACGACCTCATCTGGCGAAGAAAAAAATCTTGTTTCATCACGATAACGCACCAGCGCACACGTCAATCGTTGCGACGGCTAAAATCAACGATCTAAAGTTTGAATTGATGCCGCACCCTCCTTACTCTCCAGACCTAGCCCCGAGTGACTATTTTCTGTTCCCTAATCTCAAAAAATGGCTTGGCGGTAAGAGATTTGCGGACAATGAAGAAGTAATCGAAGCTGTAAATGGTTATTTTGAGGAGCTTGACGAATCAGTCTATAGAGATGGCATTAATAGACTGGAACACCGCTATGAGAAATGTATCAGCCTTGGAGGAGATTATGTTGAGAAATAAAAAAAAAAAATTTTTAAAAACCTTGTTTTTCTTGGTCAGGCCGGAAACTTATCAATCCACCCTCGTACATACTCCAGTTATCAGTATAGATAACAAGATAACGATACACTGCCAGGGTATCAATAAAAATTTATTACACCCGAACGATTAATTTAAAAACACTCACCCCCTTTCTCTTGAATTGCACCAAATTTTTTATAGCTATCACGATGATGGGTAAAATGACCACAACACCAATTACGATTGTAACAATTTTTGTCCTTAACAGCGTCAGAAACGGAAAACCATAACTGATTTTGAAGCAGAACAAAGTCTGAAAACCGACAAACGATAAAGTTAAGAGGTAGGTGAGCAGTTCAAGGGATAATTAGATTCGTTTCTTACAAATAAAAAGAGCGGAAGGCCTATCCACACACCTTTATAATAGGCATGGGTATGAACCTCCAACATGAGTTCGATATTGTCGCAAAATTTAAATACCCCATACAGATAGATTACTGCAACAAATTCTAGTATTATTATTAAAAACAAACCAAAATCTGCAAGGTGCATTTCCATATTCCATATGATTTCATCCCCCACCTACAAAAAATTAATTTAACCTTTGTTTAATTTGGATTACTAATTACTTTACTCGGTAAATTGCTCGTTAATAATTTCACGCTGTAATTATAGCAGTATTAGCATCTAGCAAAGACTTAGAGATAGCTTTAAATAAAATGGAAGCGGTATTGACAAAACAGTACTGTATGAAAAGTAAAACTAAAATACTGGTATGCAAGGGAAGAAAAAGGAAGGAAAGAGCGAATATAAAGATAGGAGACGAAAAATTAGAAAATGTGGCTGATTTTAGATACCTAGGAAGTCAGATAAGTCAGGACGGAAGGAGTGGTAGGGATATAAAGCAGAGGATAGCGCAGGGTCGTGTCGCCTTTAATAAAAAGAAGCCACTTCTATGCTTGCGAACGGTTAATTTAGAAATTCGGAAAAGGTTTTTAAAGGTGTATGTTTGGAGCGTGGCGTTGTACCGGTGCGAAACATGGACAGTGGGCGCGGCGAAAAAGAAAATGTTAAAAGCTTTCGAAATGTGGTGTTATAGGCGAATGATGAGGATACTGTGGATAGAAAAGGTTAGAAATGAAGAAGTATAAGAAAGAATAGGAAAACAGAAGACTCTATGGAAGTCAATAAAAAATAGGCGAGATAGGTTGGTAGGACACCTTCTCAGGCATGAAGGTCTAGTAAGAGACATATTAGAGGCAGAAACAGGAGTTAGAGGGGTAGAGGTAGACCTAGATTAGATTACTGTTCACAAATAGTTAAGGATGTGGAATGTTCTAGTTTTAGGGAAATGTGAAGTTTAGCTCAGGATAGGAAAGAGTGGAGGTGCGTGTCCAACCAGTCTTAGTACACACATTGTCAAGGGTACAGAGAAGGACATAGGGTCTAAAGTCATTATTTTGATGGCTCCTCAAACAAAAATTTCCAAAAGAATTGATTGTAATATTTCTTTTGTCAATTTGAATCGTTACATCAATGGACTATTTTAAGGTGTGCTTTACCTTATTTGCCAAAAACATTCCCAAAATGAAACAAACGACGAATACAGCTATATTGACTTTCATTTTGCTAATTCGTGACATGGGAAGTTGAATAAAAATGGTAAAAATCGTTGTCTCGAAGTACATTACCTGAAAAGGCGAGATTTCAAATAAGAAAACATAATGTCGTTATTACGGTGAATATAATATTCATACCAACGATAACCAACCACTCATTACAAATGTTGCGTAGAATAGAAAGTTCATCAACTGTCCAACGCCATTTGGTAGACGGGAAAACAATTGAGAATATATTACTTGAACAACGAATCCTAAAAAAATATTTAAAATGGGATGTTTAAATATTTTTTGATATCGAAGGTCGATAGAGAATTCTTTTAGGGTAAAGTTCGTTAAAAATCCACATCAAATGTTTTTGAGAGCGTGATTGTAGAACAAAAGGAATTAAAAGAAGAAATACTTTATAGTTTTTACCTGAATAATTTGGTTTAAATTGTCCGATTACTTTATTAATTGGTACTTTTCGTTCAGCAGCCAGAATTCCCATAACGCTAAATAGTATACCACCTATAAGTAATGATCCTACAATTGCGGATAAACTTATAAGGAGAGAATCCTTATGAGCCGGACTCGCAAAATCACAATAGGACGCCAGGGTTATAACGGGACCGAGTCCTAAACCCAAAGTTAACATGGTTTGCTCTAAGGCGAAAATCCACGTCTAAAAACAATTTTAATTAAGAAAAAATTGGTCTGAGCACATTTTGGTCGGTGCTAATACGACTAACTTCCCATTAGATAATACAGTTATTGTAAAGTACATTCGTTTCTAAAGTTTGAAAAAAACGCGGCACAATAATAAATAACAAACAATGTTTGAGAGTTCGTCATTTTATAAACCCATAAGAAACAGTATTTCGTCTGAGAAAACCGAATTGATAGAGTACTTGCATCAGTCAATTGGTAAATACTATTTTTTATTGTTTATCGATTGTTTATAACAATTCATTTTGTTATAAACAAATTTTTATTATAATATGTTATTATAATATGTTATTCCCTGTCTTGAATAATGATATTTCGTTATTATTGATTCCGTAACTTCATTGTTGTGATTAGATTAGAACGTATTTTAATTAAATTGTTTGTAATTAATTCGTTTTTTTTTTTATAAAAAAAAAACGGCTTGACCGATTTCGTTCAAATTTCTTTCAGATCTTCATTATGATAATATCTTTCGAAAAAATTTTGGTTGAGGGCGATATCTCAATCCGTTCTTGAGATATCGAAAACGAAAAAAATGCTGACATACGAACGTACGTACATACGTACGTACNATGTGCGCGAAAGCCAATACTTGCTTCAAATTGTAAAATGCAGAAATACAGAATGCTGTCGTCCAAGAAGTGGCCTATTCAGATTACTCGACAACAGATTTCTTCCACCACCTGTAAAAGTAAAACAAACAGTTGATGACTTGGTTTTAGATGAAGGAGGGCAATTTCTTGATCTTCCAGTCAATTTAGCTCTACGCTTAAGTGCTTCACTCAAAGATTTCCTGCAAATGCCCTACGATTATTTTTGTCCGACGGTAAAATTAAGGCTATCAAGTCGAACATGCAAAACTTGTGGTCTTTATCATGCTTCCGTCAAGTCACTAAATCGTCAAATCGAGGAGATCCATAAAAAAGTAAACACGCACACTGATAGGAAAGTTAGACCTGTAAGAGTCGCTGCTCGTCGTGCTAATGAACTGATGTGCATTATTCAAAATTTAGAGCACCATGATGTTGAATGGCTCGATGAGAACGACGTAGACATACCAAAATCGGATGAAAGTGAGCAGACTCACAACACTGAGCAGCAATCCAATGTCATCGAAAACTTAGAATCATGGATTCGGGTTTCATGGACTGAAGACTGTTAATTTGAATTTAATATGTGTACCAAAAATTTAAAATAAGTTTGTTATGTTCGTAAGATTATAATATTTTTGTCCCTTACTCTATGTTGAATACTGTATCAGTAAAATCTAATCTTTATCCTAAATCTATTTTCTTATTTTTAAAATTATAATTATAACATTATAATTACAATATAAAAAAAATACATTTATAATTGAAAAATGTTTACGTAAGCATGGGAGGAGGGGGTAAGAGCTTTGCTTACTTTTGCTGACAAGGGGGATGGGGGGTAAATGATTGTAATAAATCTGCTTACGTAATATTTGAACGGCCCCTTATCTCATAAATGTCTCTTAGTTTTTATGATTTTTTATTAACTCTTGTGGAAATACTATACTACAGAAGAGAAAGATGATTTTAGACGTTGCAGATATGAAGATACTTACCTTAAGATTTTTAAAAGTTTCCCAATCCGGTATGAACATGAAAGCTATCCCATCTGCAGCACCTTTTAAACATAAAGTTACCAAAAGTACCAACAGGAAAACTGTGTAACATATTGGAACGTAAACAAATGGTAACTAATAAGAAAAAGAACATGTAATAGTCTGGGATACGTTACATTCTTGTGAGTGTTCCCAAATTTTTTATTCGTAAAACAAAGGAAAGGAGAAACGTTAAAGTTATATATATACCCGTTTCATTTTTTCTACTCCTTTAAAAATTGCTACAGTAAATGTGATCCAGAGATATAGCAGTAATCCGATGTTTCTCCAATTAACATAATCAATAAAACCGGAATATTTTTCTTCAGGGGCGTTTCTTACAATGTGGTCACTAAAATTTATTAATGAAAACTACCACATTTTACAACTGTCTCATTTGTAATATTAAAAAAGCAAAAATATCGAATAGAAAAACAAAACATAGTAACTATTGCACAAGACTTCACCCCCATAAGACTCCATGTACCCTAGTTCTCTAACAATATTTGTACACATACCAAAATTGGTATAATATTTTAATTATTAATTATTTACTAGCGACCCGCAATGCTGATACTAAATATATATTGTTTTTGTTTAGATTATTTTCGAGGAGGGGAAATCTTCAAAAAATACCCCCTGAACATACTAAATATACTACAGAATGTCTTTATATACAACATTCTCAGCTTTTTTGTCATTAGACAATATAACCGCTATGTCCCTGCATTTTAAGTCTGTAATATCTTCGATAATATTCATTTAAATTACAAGGTGTAAAGGGCCATATTGATCTATATTAAATGCACAATATATTTAAGGTACATAATTGGATAAGAATTAATGCTGTATTGCTTAAAATCGCTTCGTAAGTAAGCCATTATTTCTCATAAAATGTAAAGAATTAAAAATGCTTATTGTGGGTTATCCCTAAGAGATAGACATATATCATCGCAGACTATTTTGTAGACCTTTTTAAAATGTACATTACTGTCGTATATTATTTTTATCTATCTCGTAGGGTTCAGCCAGCGTTTGCAATGTAAGCGCAAAAAAATTTGTTTATTTACGACATCACATTAAAAACCTGTAAAATTATCAGTGTTTCTCTACTATATTATGGATGTATTATACATATAAACCTTCCTCTTGAATCACTCTATCTATTAAAAAAAAACAGCATCAAAATCCGTTGCGTAGTTTTAAAGATTTAACCATACATAGGGACAGACTGCGGGAAGCGACTTTGTTTTATACTAAGTAGTGATACTAACCGAAAATAGATAGCTTCCGGTGTCTTCGATTGATTCGGGTCTTTTTCGTTACATTCAGTATTATTTTTACAAATGGAATACGGCAACATTTTATTTAACGAAGCAAAAAGATAAACCATGTTATAAACGTTTATAAAGTTGTAAAATATTCCAACAACTGCACAATAGACAGCCATCGAGGCACTGATCCCTTAAATAGATTTTAATGTTATTATCGGGAAAACAAACGTTTTCTTATTTACCTTCAAAAAGGGGACAGATGGAAAATACACGAAATGATCCCAAATTGGAAAACTGTCCCAGTGCTACCTCGAAAAAGAACATAACGCTTCCTATTAGAAAAGTAAATACCAAATATAGGAGCACGAACGATCCTGAAAATATTATTTTTTTCAATAATTAGAAGGGGTAGTACACCATAAAAATACTAGAATATTTTGAAAAGATAATTGAGACAAACAAAAACAAGATCTTGTATGACAAAAAAAATAAGTTTTTCCAAAAGTTTTTAGTGTAAATAAAATTCTTTCTTTACCTTGTCCGTAAAGCCATGCAACTTTTGGAAATCTAGACAAATTGGATAAACTTAAACAAAACGACAATGATGTTATAACAAATTGTTTCCTTGATTTCAGTTGATTTCTCTCAATTTCCTAAAATAATTTTCTAATAAAATGTATCCGACAAATTGTATATTAATAATTTGATTTCTTATTAAAATTAATAAGTAAAACAAACATAAAACCAAAAACTCAAAATGCCTCCCTAAGTTTTACTCGGAAACATAGAGGTAATTTCGCTCTCTGTGGTCATTTACAAGAGAAATATCCCGAAGTATCTGATACCCTAATAGAAGATTCTTTTTGAGAAATATACCGAAATATCTGATAGGCTAATAAAAGATTATTTTGTTTCAGGAAGCTTGTCTACAAAATTGATAGAATTTTGAACCGTCAGCAGCAGAGGCAGTCGAAATCCACAATCCTGAATATCACGGTAAGCATTATAATAATCTTAAAATTACATTTTTAAATTTCAGGTCCTTCAAAACGCTTCAGAATGCAATTTTCGTCAATTAAACGTTTAAACATTACTTATTTCCATACGCACTAAAAAACTGTTATCACCACTAAATTCTACATACAATTTTATGTATTTTTCATCTTTTATAACATACAAACTGATTGNATTTAAGCTCAGACAATGCAAAAGGAACACCAAGGACATGTAAGATTTATTCACTTATTGTATTTTTGCTTTTCTTTTCTTTATTTTCGAGTAATTCGTTTTTGGTTCATTCCTTACACGTTTTTTATCTTTTCTTTCTTTTTACATAAACTTTTACTTTACAATAACATTATTTATAAGTTTTTCTGTTTTTATTTACTTTGAAATTCTTTATCAAAACTTTTCCTTTATTAAATAACGTCATCGAAACCTAAGCATTATCAATTTAATTGTTTTCAAAACTGTTTCTAATCTTTCATTATTTTTAATAGAGATATGGAGTTAAGCAAGACATGAAGTCCAGTAGGAATCATCAGAACTTCTAAAAGAGAGATGTGGACTAATTTAAGCTCAGACAATGCAAAAGGAACACCAAGGACATGTAAGATTTATTCACTTATTGTATTTTTGCTTTTCTTTTCTTTATTTTCGAGTAATTCGTTTTTGGTTCATTCCTTACACGTTTTTTATCTTTTCTTTCTTTTTACATAAACTTTTACTTTACAATAACATTATTTATAAGTTTTTCTGTTTTTATTTACTTTGAAATTCTTTATCAAAACTTTTCCTTTATTAAATAACGTCATCGAAACCTAAGCATTATCAATTTAATTGTTTTCAAAACTGTTTCTAATCTTTCATTATTTTTAATAGAGATATGGAGTTAAGCAAGACATGAAGTCCAGTAGGAATCATCAGAACTTCTAAAAGAGAGATGTGGACTAATTTAAGCTCAGACAATGCAAAAGGAACACCAAGGACATGTAAGATTTATTCACTTATTGTATTTTTGCTTTTCTTTTCTTTATTTTCGAGTAATTCGTTTTTGGTTCATTCCTTACACGTTTTTTATCTTTTCTTTCTTTTTACATAAACTTTTACTTTACAATAACATTATTTATAAGTTTTTCTGTTTTTATTTACTTTGAAATTCTTTATCAAAACTTTTCCTTTATTAAATAACGTCATCGAAACCTAAGCATTATCAATTTAATTGTTTTCAAAACTGTTTCTAATCTTTCATTATTTTTAATAGAGATATGGAGTTAAGCAAGACATGAAGTCCAGTAGGAATCATCAGAACTTCTAAAAGAGAGATGTGGACTAATTTAAGCTCAGACAATGCAAAAGGAACACCAAGGACATGTAAGATTTATTCACTTATTGTATTTTTGCTTTTCTTTTCTTTATTTTCGAGTAATTCGTTTTTGGTTCATTCCTTACACGTTTTTTATCTTTTCTTTCTTTTTACATAAACTTTTACTTTACAATAACATTATTTATAAGTTTTTCTGTTTTTATTTACTTTGAAATTCTTTATCAAAACTTTTCCTTTATTAAATAACGTCATCGAAACCTAAGCATTATCAATTTAATTGTTTTCAAAACTGTTTATAATCTTTCATTATTTTTAATAGAGATATGGAGTTAAGCAAGACTGGAAGTCCAGTAGAAATCATCAGGACTTCTAAAAGAGAGATGTGGACCAATTTCAACTCAGACAATGCAAAGGAACACCAAGGAAAATCTAAGATTTATCAATTTAATTGTTTTCAAAACTATTTATAATCTTTCATTATTTTTAATAGAGATATGGAGTTAAGCAAGACTGGAAGTCCAGTAAAAATCATCAGGACTTCTAAAAGAGAGATGTGGACCAATTTCAACTCAGACAATGCAAAGGAACACCAAGGACATGTAAGATTTATTTACTTATTGTATNTTAATTTCATTGTTTCATCAATAAACGTCCAAATAAGTTAAGATTAAATAATTCAACTTTTTTCAAAACTTTTTAATTCTTATTATTTATTCTCTTGCAAAGCCATTCAAGTGGATATCCAAACCCAATAAAGCTGTGGAGTCAAACAACCCATGACGTTCAGCAGGACACATCAGGACTATCTGGACTTCTCAAAAAAGAGAGATGTGGGTTAATTTCAGCTCAGCCAAGGCAAAAGGAACACCAAGGACATGTAAGATTTATTTACTTATTGTATTTTTGCTTTTTTTTCTTTACTTTCGAGTAATTTGTTTTTGGTTCATTCCTTACATATTTTTAAACCTTTCTTGCTTTTTACATCAACTTTCACGTTACAATAACTTTATTTATAAGTTTTTCTATTTATATTTGCTTCGAAATTCTTTATCAAAACTTTTCCTTTATTAAATAACGTCATCGAAATCTAAGCATTATCAATTTAATTGTTTTCAAAACTGTTTCTAATCTTTCATTATTTTTAATAGAGATATGGAGTTAAGCAAGACATGAAGTCCAGTAGGAATCATCAGAACTTCTAAAAGAGAGATGTGGACTAATTTAAGCTCAGACAATGCAAAAGGAACACCAAGGACATGTAAGATTTATTCACTTATTGTATTTTTGCTTTTCTTTTCTTTATTTTCGAGTAATTCGTTTTTGGTTCATTCCTTACACGTTTTTTATCTTTTCTTTCTTTTTACATAAACTTTTACTTTACAATAACATTATTTATAAGTTTTTCTGTTTTTATTTACTTTGAAATTCTTTATCAAAACTTTTCCTTTATTAAATAACGTCATCGAAATCTAAGCATTATCAATTTAATTGTTTTCAAAACTGTTTCTAATCTTTCATTATTTTTAATAGAGATATGGAGTTAAGCAAGACATGAAGTCCAGTAGGAATCATCAGAACTTCTAAAAGAGAGATGTGGACTAATTTAAGCTCAGACAATGCAAAAGGAACACCAAGGACATGTAAGATTTATTCACTTATTGTATTTTTGCTTTTCTTTTCTTTATTTTCGAGTAATTCGTTTTTGGTTCATTCCTTACACGTTTTTTATCTTTTCTTTCTTTTTACATAAACTTTTACTTTACAATAACATTATTTATAAGTTTTTCTGTTTTTATTTACTTTGAAATTCTTTATCAAAACTTTTCCTTTATTAAATAACGTCATCGAAATCTAAGCATTATCAATTTAATTGTTTTCAAAACTGTTTCTAATCTTTCATTATTTTTAATAGAGATATGGAGTTAAGCAAGACATGAAGTCCAGTAGGAATCATCAGAACTTCTAAAAGAGAGATGTGGACTAATTTAAGCTCAGACAATGCAAAAGGAACACCAAGGACATGTAAGATTTATTCACTTATTGTATTTTTGCTTTTCTTTTCTTTATTTTCGAGTAATTCGTTTTTGGTTCATTCCTTACACGTTTTTTATCTTTTCTTTCTTTTTACATAAACTTTTACTTTACAATAACATTATTTATAAGTTTTTCTGTTTTTATTTACTTTGAAATTCTTTATCAAAACTTTTCCTTTATTAAATAACGTCATCGAAATCTAAGCATTATCAATTTAATTGTTTTCAAAACTGTTTCTAATCTTTCATTATTTTTAATAGAGATATGGAGTTAAGCAAGACATGAAGTCCAGTAGGAATCATCAGAACTTCTAAAAGAGAGATGTGGACTAATTTAAGCTCAGACAATGCAAAAGGAACACCAAGGACATGTAAGATTTATTCACTTATTGTATTTTTGCTTTTCTTTTCTTTATTTTCGAGTAATTCGTTTTTGGTTCATTCCTTACACGTTTTTTATCTTTTCTTTCTTTTTACATAAACTTTTACTTTACAATAACATTATTTATAAGTTTTTCTGTTTTTATTTACTTTGAAATTCTTTATCAAAACTTTTCCTTTATTAAATAACGTCATCGAAATCTAAGCATTATCAATTTAATTGTTTTCAAAACTGTTTCTAATCTTTCATTATTTTTAATAGAGATATGGAGTTAAGCAAGACATGAAGTCCAGTAGGAATCATCAGAACTTCTAAAAGAGAGATGTGGACTAATTTAAGCTCAGACAATGCAAAAGGAACACCAAGGACATGTAAGATTTATTCACTTATTGTATTTTTGCTTTTCTTTTCTTTATTTTCGAGTAATTCGTTTTTGGTTCATTCCTTACACGTTTTTTATCTTTTCTTTCTTTTTACATAAACTTTTACTTTACAATAACATTATTTATAAGTTTTTCTGTTTTTATTTACTTTGAAATTCTTTATCAAAACTTTTCCTTTATTAAATAACGTCATCGAAATCTAAGCATTATCAATTTAATTGTTTTCAAAACTGTTTCTAATCTTTCATTATTTTTAATAGAGATATGGAGTTAAGCAAGACATGAAGTCCAGTAGGAATCATCAGAACTTCTAAAAGAGAGATGTGGACTAATTTAAGCTCAGACAATGCAAAAGGAACACCAAGGACATGTAAGATTTATTCACTTATTGTATTTTTGCTTTTCTTTTCTTTATTTTCGAGTAATTCGTTTTTGGTTCATTCCTTACACGTTTTTTATCTTTTCTTTCTTTTTACATAAACTTTTACTTTACAATAACATTATTTATAAGTTTTTCTGTTTTTATTTACTTTGAAATTCTTTATCAAAACTTTTCCTTTATTAAATAACGTCATCGAAATCTAAGCATTATCAATNAATTTTGTAATTTTCGACTGGTGCATCCCTACGTCGAAGGTTTTTGTTATTCGACGCCGGTGGGGGACGTGCGTCCCCTGTCCGCGCGCGGGGTCATTTCCAGCAGGTTTGGATACCCCCCAAGTGGTAACTGCCACCTTTCAATGGCCGCAAGCGGTCTTCCCGGTGGTTAGAAGCACCTTCAACGACTTAGATCCCCATTCGAAGGCTTGACTTATACCTGCGCAAACAGAAATCACCACCAAGTTGCTTGAAGATGATCTTATCTGAGGAAGAAGTGACACAAGTGCCACCCTTCCACAGAGAGGATCACCTTCAAACCACTTGAAGGTGTTCCCGTTCGCGAAGGGATAAGTCTTACCTACGAGCGGTGATCCTCGCCGTTGAAAGGGACTTCTTACCATGGGAAGACGGCTCCAGCCGTTGAAAGATGACCCTTACCGTTGGGAGCTATCCTCACCCGTTAGAAATGACCCCCGTTGATGGACGGCGTCCCTGGAGAGGCGAGGGGTCCTGAAGAAGGCCTGTAAAAAAAAAGACGTGAAAAGAAGTTATATTAAAAAAGATAATATAGTTAATAAAATAAATAGTGTTAGCTAAATAAAAAGAAAGAGTGTTTAGAGAAAATTTATAAATCCTACCTCTCCTGGATGTCCGCATGATCCTGGAAGGACGATTCCAAAGGCAGCCGATTGGTAAGGTGGTCCTCGTCTGGTGACTGCACTGGAAGATGTACCTGAAAGAGCGTAAACTATCAAACTAAAGAAAGAACGAAAAATCTAAAATAAAAGTTAAGTGATAAAGTAGAAAATATGTTATGAACGTAGTAAAGTAAATAAAAATAAAGGATAGGAACAATAAAATATAAATAGAAAAAAGATTGGGTTACAATAAACTGAAGGAGTTCTACAAAAGGTCTTAAAGTAAATTAAAAAGAATTGTAGATCTGAAAATAAAAAAGAAAAGTAAATCTCACCATTTCTTCTACTGTTATATCCACTTGCCCTTCGTTCCATATGTGGACTGGAGAATTTGCCTAAAAAATAAATATAGTCTTAAACAAAATAGATGTAAATAGAAAGAGAAGAAATAAAAAGCTTAATGAATTAATTAAATGAAAATGGAATAAAAGTCGTAACTAAGTAAAACAAAAAGATCTTAATAAAGTAAAGAAGAAAAAATATTTTAAATAACACACAAACGAAAAGGAAGATTAAAAAAATTAATAAGACATTCAATTCTTACCTTTCTATAAAGTGTCCACCATATGCTCCTTGAGTTAGTCCCATTGGTAATCAGTCCCAATTTCAGTGCTGTGCAAGGTCATCATCCTAAATGGATAGAGTTGTAAACTAAAAAAGAAAAAACAGCTTAAACCATGTGTACAGGGAACTAAAAGAAATTAGAAAACTAAATAAATCGACTAATGTTAATAAAATACAAGTTTCAACCAAATTTAAACAAAAAGGGATGGTTTCAACGAAGAAAAACAAATGTTTTAAGAATGTTCTAAACTGAATAGAAGAAAGGGTAGATTTGAAAGATGCAAGGCTTGTAATTCTTACCCTTCCTTGTAGTGTCCTCTCAGTGATCCTTGGGTAAACCCCATTGGTTATCTGCAAATATTCCAGGACTATCCAGGACGATCATATTAAAGGGATCCAGTTTTCAACTAAAAAAGAAAAAACAGCTTAAAACTTATAAAGGGGACAATAAAATGAATTAGAAAACTAAATTAATCGTCTAATGTAAATATAATACAAGTTTCAACCAAATTTAAACAAAAAGGGATGGTTTCAACAAAGAAAAACAAATGTTTGAAGAATGTCCTAAACTGAATAGAAGAAAGGGTAGATTTGAAAGATGCAAGGCTTATAATTCTTACCCTTCCTTGTAGTGTCCTCTCAGTGATCCTTGGGTAAACCCCATTGGTTATCTGCTAACATTCCAGGACTATCCAGGACGATCATATTAAAGGGAACCAGTTTTCAACTAAAAAAGAGAAAACAGCTTAAAACTTATAAAGGGGGAAATAAAATAAATTAGAAAATTAAATTAATCGTCTAATGTAAGTGAAATACAAGTTTCAACTGAATTTAAACAAAAAGGGATGGTTTCAACGAAGAAAAACAAATGTTTTAAGAATGTTCTAAACTGAATAGAAGAAAGGGTAGATTTGAAAGATGCAAGGCTTGTAATTCTTACCCTTCCTTGTAGTGTCCTCTCAGTGATCCTTGGGTAAACCCCATTGGTTATCTGCAAATATTCCAGGACTATCCAGGACGATCATATTAAAGGGATCCAGTTTTCAACTAAAAAAGAAAAAACAGCTTAAAACTTATAAAGGGGACAATAAAATGAATTAGAAAACTAAATTAATCGTCTAATGTAAATATAATACAAGTTTCAACCAAATTTAAACAAAAAGGGATGGTTTCAACAAAGAAAAACAAATGTTTGAAGAATGTCCTAAACTGAATAGAAGAAAGGGTAGATTTGAAAGATGCAAGGCTTATAATTCTTACCCTTCCTTGTAGTGTCCTCTCAGTGATCCTTGGGTAAACCCCATTGGTTATCTGCTAACATTCCAGGACTATCCAGGACGATCATATTAAAGGGAACCAGTTTTCAACTAAAAAAGAGAAAACAGCTTAAAACTTATAAAGGGGGAAATAAAATAAATTAGAAAATTAAATTAATCGTCTAATGTAAGTGAAATACAAGTTTCAACTGAATTTAAACAAAAAGGGATGGTTTCAACGAAGAAAAACAAATGTTTTAAGAATGTTCTAAACTGAATAGAAGAAAGGGTAGAATTGAAAGATGCAAGGCTTGTAATTCTTACCCTTCCTTGTAGTGTCCTCTCAGTGATCCTTGGGTAAGCTGCATTAGTTATCTGCTAACATTCCAGGACTATCCAGGACGATCATATTAAAGGGATCCAGTTTTCAACTAAAAAAGATAAAACAGCTTAAAACTTATAAAGAGGGAAATAAAAGAAACTACAGAACTAAATAAATCGTCATGTTTGAATCAAATTAAAATGAAAAGGAGTTACTTCAACTAAGAAAAGCTAATGTTTTAAGAATTTCCTAAGCTTAGTGGATGAAAGAGTAGATTTCAAAATTCACAAAGCTGCAAATGTTACCAATCATGTAAGAAAGTACAAAACTTTCATGGTGACAACAGTTTTTTAGTGCAGCATGGTATAAACTAAATTGTTATTTGATAAGATTTGAAAAATAATATTAAACAAACCCCAAAAAAGCCTACGTCAAATTTTGAAGGAATGAAAATTATTTATGTAGCTGTAAACGCAGTCAATCATGTAAAAAAGTACGCAAAATCTTATGGTGACAACAGTTTTTTAGTACGTCACAGAATAAACACCCTAGCGTATTATTATTTGATAAGATATGAAAGATAATTTAAAACAAAACTTGGAAAAGCGCACGTTAAATTCCGAAGGGATGAAAATTATTCAGGAAGCTACAAACGCTATCAATTTTGTAGAAAAGTACGCAGAATCTTATGATGACAACAGTTTTTTAGTACGTCACAGAATAAACACCCTAGCGTATTATTATTTGATAAGATATGAAAGATAATTTAAAACAAAACTTGGAAAAGCGCACGTTAAATTCCGAAGGGATGAAAATTATTCAGGAAGCTACAAACGCTATCAATTTTGTAGAAAAGTACGCAGAATCTTATGATGACAACAGTTTTTTAGTACGTCACAGAATAAACACCCTAGCGTATTATTATTTGATAAGATATGAAAGATAATTTAAAACAAAACTTGGAAAAGCGCACGTTAAATTCCGAAGGGATGAAAATTATTCAGGAAGCTACAAACGCTATCAATTTTGTAGAAAAGTACGCAGAATCTTATGATGACAACAGTTTTTTAGTACGTCACAGAATAAACACCCTAGCGTATTATTATTTGATAAGATATGAAAGATAATTTAAAACAAAACTTGGAAAAGCGCACGTTAAATTCCGAAGGGATGAAAATTATTCAGGAAGCTACAAACGCTATCAATTTTGTAGAAAAGTACGCAGAATCTTATGATGACAACAGTTTTTTAGTACGTCACAGAATAAACACCCTAGCGTATTATTATTTGATAAGATATGAAAGATAATTTAAAACAAAACTTGGAAAAGCGCACGTTAAATTCCGAAGGGATGAAAATTATTCAGGAAGCTACAAACGCTATCAATTTTGTAGAAAAGTACGCAGAATCTTATGATGACAACAGTTTTTTAGTACGTCACAGAATAAACACCCTAGCGTATTATTATTTGATAAGATATGAAAGATAATTTAAAACAAAACTTGGAAAAGCGCACGTTAAATTCCGAAGGGATGAAAATTATTCAGGAAGCTACAAACGCTATCAATTTTGTAGAAAAGTACGCAGAATCTTATGATGACAACAGTTTTTTAGTACGTCACAGAATAAACACCCTAGCGTATTATTATTTGATAAGATATGAAAGATAATTTAAAACAAAACTTGGAAAAGCGCACGTTAAATTCCGAAGGGATGAAAATTATTCAGGAAGCTACAAACGCTATCAATTTTGTAGAAAAGTACGCAGAATCTTATGATGACAACAGTTTTTTAGTACGTCACAGAATAAACACCCTAGCGTATTATTATTTGATAAGATATGAAAGATAATTTAAAACAAAACTTGGAAAAGCGCACGTTAAATTCCGAAGGGATGAAAATTATTCAGGAAGCTACAAACGCTATCAATTTTGTAGAAAAGTACGCAGAATCTTATGATGACAACAGTTTTTTAGTACGTCACAGAATAAACACCCTAGCGTATTATTATTTGATAAGATATGAAAGATAATTTAAAACAAAACTTGGAAAAGCGCACGTTAAATTCCGAAGGGATGAAAATTATTCAGGAAGCTACAAACGCTATCAATTTTGTAGAAAAGTACGCAGAATCTTATGATGACAACAGTTTTTTAGTACGTCACAGAATAAACACCCTAGCGTATTATTATTTGATAAGATATGAAAGATAATTTNATAACAGTTTTTTAATTCGCCTTGAAATAAGTAAGATTTAATTGTTTAATTGACAAAAATTACATAAAAACACTGAACATAAAAATGCGCACCTAAATTTTCAACACATTCAACAATTATTCTAAAACTTCTAACCAAGGAAATATAAATAAAAATGTGTGTAGAATTTAGTGGCGATAACAGTTTTTTAGTGCGCATTGAAATCAGTAAGATTTAATTGTTTAATTGACGAAAACTGCATAAAAATTCAAAACATGAAAACGCGCACGTAAATTTTCGACATGTTCAACAATCAGTTTGAATGTTATAAGAGATGAAATATACATAAAAATGTATGTTGAGTTAGAAACAAAAAAAATATTACAGGAAACACACATTTTTTTTTCTTTTGTCGGCTAGTGTAATATGTGAAAAATAATCTAAATAAAATATAGAATCGACAATTTCTTAGTTGGACTTCAAATAAGTACCTACCGCATTATTATTAAATAAAATGTTCAAAAGCCATTTTTTTATGTATCCTATTGTAGATAAGGAAATAAAAATATTAAATCTGAATAAACATGATCTATCGTACTGTTTCTGATATTGTTTTTTACAAAGTTCTGTATTCTCACATCGAGTGTGTTAGTATCAGTGTCACTGGGAAGTCGAACCGATAAGAGACATTTGTGTGGTTTAAAATAAAGGAGAATATTCTTTACGTTGTATTAAGCCTGAGAATAAAATTTTCAAAAACTACATATACAGGACTATCCAGGACGATCATATTAAAGGGATCCAGTTTTCAACTAAAAAAGATAAAACAGCTTAAAACTTATAAAGAGGGAAATAAAAGAAACTACAGAACTAAATAAATCGTCATGTTTGAATCAAATTAAAATGAAAAGGAGTTACTTCAACTAAGAAAAGCTAATGTTTTAAGAATTTCCTAAGCTTAGTGGATGAAAGAGTAGATTTCAAAATTCACAAAGCTGCAAATGTTACCAATCATGTAAGAAAGTACAAAACTTTCATGGTGACAACAGTTTTTTAGTGCAGCATGGTATAAACTAAATTGTTATTTGATAAGATTTGAAAAATAATATTAAACAAACCCCAAAAAAGCCTACGTCAAATTTTGAAGGAATGAAAATTATTTATGTAGCTGTAAACGCAGTCAATCATGTAAAAAAGTACGCAAAATCTTATGGTGACAACAGTTTTTTAGTACGTCACAGAATAAACACCCTAGCGTATTATTATTTGATAAGATATGAAAGATAATTTAAAACAAAACTTGGAAAAGCGCACGTTAAATTCCGAAGGGATGAAAATTATTCAGGAAGCTACAAACGCTATCAATTTTGTAGAAAAGTACGCAGAATCTTATGATGACAACAGTTTTTTAGTACGTCACAAAATAAACACCCTTGCGTATTATTATTGTTTAATAAGATATGAAAGATAAATAATTTAAAACAAAACTTAGAAAAGCGCACGGAAAATTTCGAAGGGATGAAAGTTATTCACGAAACTGTAAACGCAGTCAACTATGTAAAAAGGTACGCAGAATCTTATGGTGACAACAGTTTTTTAGTACGTCATGATATAAACACCCTACCACATTTTTATTTGATAACACTGGTCAACACCATTTTTATTTCCTTAATTTTTTTTTATTTTTATTGAGTATTTCTATATCTCTGATTATGAAAAAAATAGTGGATGATTGCTAACAGCTTTACTTTTTGAAATATACGATTTTAGTATTTCGACTAAGTAATACAAAAAAATTACTATACATGTAAGCTAAATTTCAATTCTACACTATCAAATGATCTTTTAGACGATTTCCTTAAATGAACGACATCAG